GCTTGGCTATTAAGTTTTGGGGGAGTCAAAAATGGTACAGGATTTTCATCTGCATGGGGGTGTGGGTTTGCATCCTTAATCCCCATATTGTTCAAATGTCAACTGTATGTCTAAAAGAGCTCATGTAATAAGTATAAAAGAATTATGAGTGCTAATAAAGTTGTTTAGTCATCTGCTTATTTTGAATAATCCCCTCTCTCACCCATCATAAGATGGTCTCCTAGTGTATGTACTGGCATGGGCCACATAAAGCAACGCTTAAGGGTAAATAAAAGGAACAGGCCTCTAGTGTAAGGTTTCCTGAGGCTCAAGGACTCCTGGCTTCAAAGTCCAGGAACCCACTCCTGGTATGTAAAATGTGGTTGAGCCTAGGTTATTGTTCTGCCTGGCGGTCCATTGCTTTCAACAGATTCTCATGGGACTAACAATTGAGGTTCTGTAGTCCCATGTTAATACCACCCATATTTCATTCCTATAATTAATTTCATTCATGTCTCTGTTATTGGCTAAGAGAAACCTAAAACCAGTTGCCCAGGGCAGTGTTTCCCAAAGTGTATTCTATAGGTTACCAGGATCAGCATCATCTGAGGTGCCTGTCAAAAATACAGATCCCTGAATTAACACCAGGCCTGCTAAATCCGAGTCTGTGATGGTAGGGCACAGGAATCTGCTGCTTAAACTTACCGCCTCGTCCTTAGGTGGTCTGGTTTGTAAAGTACTGAGAGAACCAAGGAGAAAATTAACTCTTTCAAGTGGAGGGAGTGATTTTTTTTAATGGGTTAATAATAAAAATAAATTAATATTAACTAACACTAAACACTTACCTGCTGGGTACTGTTCTAAACGTATATGGTTTAACTATTTAAATGGCTATAACATCATACATTATTCAATGTGAGGAAATTGGGACAGAGATTAAGTAGATCAAAGACACATCGTAAGTGGTGACACTGGGATTTGAACGCAGTCTGGCTCCAGAGGTCAAACTTTTACTTGCTACCCTACATTGTTTTCCCTAAGGCAGACCATTTTATTCATTTCCTCCAGGGTTTTTTGTTGTTGCTGTTTTGTTTATACTTTTAAAAATGTGGATTCTTAATATTTACTCTCATTTAAAGCTTCGCTTTGAAGCAAATGTAAGAAAAAAAATCATTTTTCTTCCTCAAAAATGTATAGTTGAAGAAATCCAGAAAACCTCTGGAATGCATAGCTGAAGTAACTAAGTTAAAAACTTTGATATTAAGTAAATATACTTTAAGCAAAATTTAAAATATACATGTTAACACTTGTTGATTTGGGTTGTGGTAAATTATTTATTTATTTTAGATTTTATTTATTTATTTGACAGACAGAGATCACAAGTAGGCAGAGAGGCAGGCAGAGAGAGAGAGAGGAGGAAGCTGGCTCCCTGCAGAGCAGCGATCCCGATGTGGGGCTCGATCCCAGGACCCTGGGATCATGACCTGAGCTGAAGGCAGGGGTTTTAACCCAGAACCACCCAGGTACATTTTTAAATTTGTTTCAGTGGCATAGTGCAAATGTGTTAAAAAGAATCACTATCTAAAATAATTTTTAAAGTCTGATTTATGGGGCGCCTGGGTGGCTCAGTGGTTTAAAGCCTCTGCTTTGGCTCAGGTTATGATCCCAGGGTCTTGGGATCAAGCCCCACATCGGGATCTCTGCAGCAGAAAGCCTTCCTCCCCTGTCTCTGCCTGCTTCTCTGCCTACTTGTGATCTCTATCAAATAAATAAATAAAATCTTAAAAAAAACCCTCTGATTTATTACCTGAAGTAATATTCAGTTTGAATGATTTGGAACTCTAGGTGAATCCTACATGATCTTTTGGGATCAGTTTCTAGTCAGTCAGTGGTACTTGTTCCTCATTGTGATCTGAGATGTAAATTACACTGACCTTCACTTTTCTTGAATTATTTTGATAATGTTATATTACTGTAACATATTAAAACTTTCACTTTAGACAAATAGCAAGGAATAAGCAATTCTAGCCATTTTTCAGAGATAATTTTTTTGTGTGTGTCAAATATGTGAACTATTCAAGTTATAAGCTATTTTTATCTTTAAGACCACAAAAAGTAATTTCCCAGGAGCCAAAAGCTCTGACCTTTAAGGTAGTTTTAGAAGTCTGATAAGCAGGGGCACCTGGGTGGCTCAGTGGGTTAAGTCTCTGCCTTCGGCTCAGGTCATGATCTCAGGGTCCTGGGCTCTCTGCTCAGTGAGGATCCTGCTTCCCACTCTCTCTGCCTACTTGTGATCTCTGTCAAATAAATAAAAAAAAAAAAAGTCTGAGAAGCAAACTTATTTCTACATAAAAATTAAAGGGATACATTTATTTTTATTTAATTCCTTCACAAGAATATAAGTGAGAAACTGTGGCTTAGAGAAATTGACTACTCAAAGCTAGTCAGCTGGTTAGCGGTAGAGTAAATCACTGGATCACTAGTTTGGTATTTTCTTTACTTTTTAGTATTTTTAAGTTACCCATAGCTTAACATGCTGACATAAAACTAATAGGATGTTGCTTTATATTGATCGATGCCAGAAACCAGTCATCTATTTTATTGGAACTGTTACCCACGACACTCCTGAGTTCACAAAGTGAGTCACTATGGTAAATGATCACACTGAGTAGTTAGTTATTCCCATGTTAGGATGGTACCTCCCACATCTCAGTGCCCTTTAAATGTTTAAATATATACAAAATTTGGATGATGTAAATATTATATCCAGCAATTTGTTACTTCATTAACTATCAATTCACATCAGGCAAGGCCATTTTTTACATCTGTAATTAGGATAGCACCACCTATATCCTAGCTATTCCAGAATGAATTAATGTTTACAATGTGTTGTGAGGTCTCTGAAGGAGTATTTGGTGGAATATTTAACAGGCACAATTTTTTCCATTTTCCTAAATGGAAAGCTTTTCTTCCTTTAAAATATCTCCTCCTCATCATGACTTTATACATCTGGCAGAGATTTGACATAGAACATCAAATATTTTTAACCTCTAACTTCATTTCCTTTGTCTTGTGCTAGGTTTTCTGTATTCCTTAATGTGTTCACCCAATGCTCCCCTCTTCTTTCAAACTGAGAATATTAATTTCTCAATCATTTTTACGTACTATACTTTATTCTGTTTCTGTTTTAGCTACAATTCGTTGGGCACCTATGTCCTGAGGTGTGTTGTCACAACCCTGTAGTTAAAAGCCAAAACTTACTAGGTGATTGCTGTGTAACAGGCATTGTTCTAAGTGCTTTAATTATTAATTTAATATTAATTTTCACAAAAACTCTACAAAGCAGACACTGCTACTAATTCTCCCAGTTTAGATAAAAAAAAACTAAGGAACAGAGAGATGTACCCCCAACTCATAGACTAAGTGATGGAAATGGGTTACGAACCCGGGGAGTCTAGTCTGCTCTCGAATTGGGAAAACTGTTCTACACCTCTTTCTTTTATAGTACCACACTCACAGTATTTCTTAACACCAGATGTGAGCCCCTCTCCTCCCCCTAACAATTGTGACACTGGCTGGGTATTGTACAATTTAACTAAATTCTGACATTCTCTACCTGGATAGTTCAAGCTGTTAACCTGTGCTTCTGCCCCATCAGCTGCAAATCTGAGGTTCTCACGACCCCCTTCCTGGGTCCAATTAATTTGCTAGAGTGGCTCATAGAACTCATGGAAACACTTATTTAACATTTACCAGCCTGTTAAAGGATATGCGTATACAGGTGAAGTCAGACGAAGAGATGCATTTGGTGAAGTGTGGGCGGGTGTCAAGCACAGATGTTGTCCCCATGGAGTGCATCACCCTGTCCGTGTGGATGCATTCACCAATCTGGAAGATCCTCTGAACCTCACACTGTTGGGGATTTTATGAAGGCTTTCTCACATATGCATAATCAATCAGTAATTCCATTTCCAGCCTCTCTCCCCTCTGTTGAATGGGGGTAGGGCTGAAAATTCCAAGCTTTTAATTGTGGCCTGAACTTTCTGGGCACCAGCCCCCATTCCCGAGCCAAGCAGGAGCCCACCCAGTCACCTCATTAGAACAAAAAAATGCTGAGTGCTCTTATCACTTAGTAATTAACAAGGTTTAGGAGTTCTGTGCCAAGAATTGGGGGCAGAACCAAAACACATACTTTCTATTGTCTCAGAGCTCTTAACCATTGTTACATCACCTCTCCAAGGTAGGTATAGTTGTACCATAAAGAAAATGAGTTGGAAATCAAGTAATTAACTCAAAAGCACCCGAGTAAGTTAACAGCAAAACTTGTACTTTTCCTAATGTATCAGGAAAGGAAAGCCAGAAAGCCTGGATTGAAATCCTGACTCTACTTAATAGCTACATGACCTTTAAAGCTTTTTTTTCTTTTAGCTTCCTCATCTTTACAATATGGCTAATAGATTTTACTGCACCAAAATTGTGAGGAGTAAGGATGTTAAGTATAAATAAAGTGCTTACAGAAGTACCTTAGCACTTTTGACTTTTATTTCCAATCCACCTCTTTATAAGAAAACAAAAGATAAAATAATTTAACATGTGTGCTGCTGAGGAAGCAGCCTTAAACCAGAGGTTAAGATAAGGCTCAAGTTATGATGGTTTAGGTCCAAATCCCATACCTGCGTCCTTTAAAAAGTTAACCTCCTGGACTTTCAGCATCCTCCTGAGGGAAATCTATAAAACAGTACCACACCTCACAAAGTTACTATTAAAGGTTAGATGAGGTGATGCACAACTGGTACATGGTGATTGTTTAATAAATATTAACCACTGATCATCTTTGTATCTCTAACAGCTAGAGATATTTAATTAACAATAGCTAATGAACAGTGACATAGTTACAACACCCTTCACTAGGCTGGTCATTTTCTTCCCTGGCATCATCCCAAATATTTTCAAGTTCACCATCTCAGCATCTCTCTCCTACTTTAAAGACCAGAATAACTAAGGAAAGGTGTAACGTTTGCTCTTTTTTACCACTTGAACTTGTCACTCACCTCACAGTAATCCTACCAAATTTTCCTCAAGTAGAGTGTACAAACGGCAACTGTTGGAAGTCCCCAGTACAGTACTGAAAATGAAACTTTTACCTTATTTATCACATTAAGGACGATCAGAAAATGTTCACAATTAATGTAATTAAGTCGTGTCTTTTTCTACTTTTAACTAAAGTTCCTCTTCATTCCTAAGCTTTTACCACACAGAATGTACAAAATCCTTAAGCTGACATTAGACCTGTTAGTTACAAGTATCCTGCTCAAGAATTACACTCAGGTAAATGAAATGAGTATGTCAGAACTATTTTATAGGCCATCTTACAAATAAGATGATTCCAAAGGTGCATTCTCTTCACAAGAAAAATTATAAAAGTGTTCTAAGTTTGACAGTTGTTCCTTCACCACCCAGGAAACTTTCCTAGGCGACTACTTGACAGAATATTGGAGAACTCTGGCCCACACCACCTTTTACCAAGCACTTTTGTATTGCTGCCCAAATTCCTAGTATGACTTGAATATCAATTAAAGAACAACAACAAAAAAATTGAGCAACAAACCAAATTTCCCTGTTGACAAGAATTTTTTAAATCTAAGGTTAGGTATTATCAATCCGATCACTTCACCAGTTAAAGATAAAAAACGTATTGATCTAAAATTATTGCCGAAAAACTTAAGCTAAGTGAAAACGTTATTTAAGCTTAATGCTCTTTTTAACTCCCGCACGAATGCCAGAGAGTTCACCAGTGTAACGCTGCTCTTCTCTCCGGACTTCACGAACTTGCCCTCTCCTGCGGATTTTGGCTCTTCTGAACTTTTCCCGGTGTTTCACTCTGGGATTGCGATCGATCTTCTTTCTTCTAGGGGTAAGTCCTCTATTTCTAGCGATCTGATAGGTAATGGCTCTCTTCGCATTCTGATCTTCAAGAGTCTGTTCGTCGACGCTATTTTCTTCTTTCTTCCTCTTCAGCTTCTGCTTGTCTTCCGTTTCCTTGTAGAATTTCGGCGCAGCTTCTTCATCAAGATCGGAATCATCAGCCGTAGCTGCCACAGCAGAGGCAGCAGCAGTAGTCTCTGAAACGGATTTTGGCTTGGCCTTGGTGGATTTTGTTCTCGACGTCAGTCCTTTCTTCCCCGCATCATCTTTAAACGTGAGCAGATGACGAATTTCGGAAGACAGCTTCTGATCTACAACTGACAGCTCGTGGATCAAACTGCGGTAGGTGACAAGCCTCTCTATGACGGGGTGTCCATGCGCGGGGACCCTCCTGGCTTTCAGGATCAAATAAAAGCTGATGTTGGAGCAGTAGTTCAAATAGAGGTTGTACTTGGTCCTCAGGTACTGGCTCCCCTTTCCGGGTGGAACGACCCCTCGCTCCGCCAACTGCAGCAGCGGCTCCAGCTCATCTTTCACTTCAGTCAGCTTAACCTTCAGGTCTTCTATAAGCTCCAAGAGCTCTGGTGACTCCTTCCGCAGCATCTTCAGCTTCTCTTTCGCTGAAACTTTCGCCAGATCCTTCACGACGCGGGTCTCAGCCTCATCCACCTGAGGTGCTGGTTTTGCAAAGGCCTCAACCCAGCTGACCCCAAAGTCATCCTCTTCCAGGGCTTGCGCGAGGCGCCGCTGAATGAGCTGCGCTTCCTCTTCCTCCTCTCTTTCCTCCTCCTCTACTTCTTGCTGACTCTGTCGGCGTCGGGACTTGGAACTGTAGTCTGTGTCATAGTAAAGTTTTTTCCTCTGACCCCACGACAAACTGGGATCCACGGACACCTCGGCCTCACTCTGCACGGAGCTCCCGCCATCGTCATCGCCATCCGCGTCATCCCCCGCGCTCTCCCCATCTTCATCGTCCTCATCAGCAATATCTAGGGGTAGAACCTCTTCCTCCTCATCACCGTCCTCCTCCTCCTCCTCACTCTCCACTTCGCCCCAGCCTTTAGCCAAGGCAGCCCGGGATCGGGCCTCATGGAAATCGTCTACCTCATCTTGGTAGTAGCTGGAGTCCCCAGGCGAGGGTGGCAATTCTGAATCGTCTTCATTTTCGTCCTCGGGGCCGGGACCAGCCTGGGCTCGCACAGCTGCCCACTTGGCCGCTCCGCGCCGCCGGGATCTCCCCACCATAACTCACGGGCTCAAGTTCCACACCGATGTCAGGCCTTCGGTAACCTCCGACCGCCGCCAACGGCCACACGCGCGCCAGCAACACGCTTCTTCCAACAGCCACGCGCGCTCCTCCCAGGACAGCTCGCCCGCGAATCGCTCCGCGGCAGGAGTTTCCACCTCCTTCCGGCCCCCAGGATCCTCTCCGCGCGGCGTGTGAACAAGGACTTCCGCTCCGTCCGGTAGGCTTTGTCACCTTACGAGCACCTCCCTCTCCGCTTTTGCCCTTGAACGCCAATCGATTCCGGTGAATTCAGATCCTTCCGTGTAGGAACACTAGACACAGGAAGTTCCGTTCCGTGGAGCCCTTTGAGATCGCTGTTCCTACTCTCGCGAGTCTGGGCGTGCCCGGGAGACGGGATCTTGCGGGAATCTCGAGGCGCGGTCTCCGGGGCCGCTAGAGGGCGCTCTAGCTCCGCGCCTCGGAGAGGCCCGGGGGCGTCCGGTGAGCTGTCGTGTGATTGTACCGGGCGCTTCCGGCGGGCAGCGAGAGTAGGTGTGTCGGAACTCCCCAGTGACTGCAGTTGTTGCATATCCCCTCCGCCCGTCTGTCTGGAAGCGAAGCAGGTTTTCTGTCCGCGACGTCCAAATACTGCTTTTCTGGGCACCGTAACCGGAGGCCTGGACGGCGCCGCCGGCCTCGAGAATCCTGGCGGGGCCTCGGGGAGGCTGTTAACCCACCTCCAGCGAGGCGCCCGCAGGGCTCGGTGACGGTGGTGATTTGTGACCCCGAAGGGGTCTCCGGGGGGTCGGTGCGCGGGCGGAGCCCCGCTCCTGCAGCTGACTCTCCAGGCGCTCGAGTTGGCTGCAGGGGGCGCCGCGACTTCTTAGCGGACAGTTCACTCTTGAAGATGTTTGGACGGGACACGCTCGCGGGGGTCTTTGTTGTGGGTGGTTTTTTTTTGTTTTTTGTTTTTTTTTTTTTTAATCAGTTCTTCAACATTTACTAAGCGTGAGACAGTGTGTTAGACTCTGGGGAAAATGGTGGACACACGCACACGCTGTCCCGCAGTTGAGGAACCTGTGATCTAGCGAGGGACACGCGTTAATCAAATCCCACGAAGTGTGTCAAATTCTAATTGGGGTAAGTGCTGCGAGCACGTAACCTGTAAGCCTGTCACCCAGCCTTCAGCGGCCCAAACACTCGACGTGCCTCTGGACACACAACCCCCCTTACGGAGGACGGGTCTAGTTCTCCTGCCCGACTCCGGGACGTGTTTGCTGTATTGCACGAGCTCAGGCGCTGCTTCTTCCATCTCTTTACCCGCTTCGTGGTCTTTTCCTCCTTCTTCGTCATCACCTAGTAGATCTCTGCAAACACTGGTATTGCCAGGCACAGAATACGTGTTCAATCAATATTCGTTTAATGAATAAGTATTGAAAGCACTATATCTGATTACCGGTCTTAAATGCTGCATACATGTCCTTTGTCGCTTCAGTGTAAATTAGTTTCAGACTTTTTCCAGAGGGTAGGTTTTGCTGGGTGGATGACAGAGAAACTAAGAGCATAAATTAAAATATTTGAGGGGGGCGCCTGGGTGGCTCAGTGGGTTAGGGCCTCTGCCTTCAGCTCAGGTCATGATCCCAGGCTCCTGGGATGGAGCCCCGCATCGGGCTCTCTGCTCAGCGGGGAGCCTGCTTCCCCCTCTCTGCCTGCCTCTCTGCCTACTTGTGATCTCTGTCTGTCAAATAAATACATAAAAATCTTTTAAAAAAATATTTGAGGAAGAGGGTGAGAATAGGGAAGAATTAATCAAACTTGTCTTTGGAAGCATTATTAGGGCTAGAAATATGAAAGGACTGCCCTATAATCTTAGACTAGTTCAAGGTTATCGTTTTCAGATATTACATATGATAGATTCAGAGTATTAATGACACCTTCAAATGTAGGGGCTTAGAATCTGAACTTTCAATATGATGCTAAAATTAAAGGTGACGTACAATTTCTTTGCAGAACAAATAGTGTCATTTGGAAAAATCATACAAATTTTTAGAAGGGTAATATTTTGAACTAAATATTTTTAAAATGCCAAAAGGTATCTTAAGCATTTTAAAGCCTTTTAAATATAATACAATTTAATGATTTAAAAAATGTAGGTAAAAGTCATATGTCCTGATGGTAAGCACAGAATTCATTTTTGAATGTGAGTTTTAATAGGTTTTATTATTTAAAAATATTAACTACTTACTAACTGTAGCAGCATACTACATGCTGTAGTAGATCCAAAGGTGAATTAGCCAGAGTCTCTTCCCTCTGAATTTATAATTAAGAATTAATAATTTATAATTAAGTATTTATAATCAGATATAAAAGAACACATGCACACAGATTATTAAAATACAAAGCGGTGTGTGATGTAAGCCCCATGCTGTGAGAGATCAGAGGGGTGAGAGACTGCCTCTAGATTGTTATTCTGAAATATTGCTTCAAGAATGTTGCATCTAAGTGGGACTGTAATTATAACCTTGCTTTAAATGTATTAAATTTTCATTATATATAAAAATTAAGCTTTATTTATACCCACAGATCCCAATTTTTCTGCTTAATTTTGTTGTGAATTATTTGAGAATTTATGGCCATACTTTAGGACCAGAATGTGTGTATTTTTATAGAGAAGTTAGAAAAATATTTTTGATATTTTTAATGGGAATGATCACATTGCTGTAATATTATTTATACTAAAGATTACATTGGCTAAGTATTTAGAAAAGAGTTACAGTATCCTGTGTGTGTTGAGAGAGTGCTGTAGTCCAACATGCTCAGATCTTTTTGATAAAGACCCACTCAGAAGCCAGTTTTTCAATTCCAGAAGTTCCCATAGTCTGATCATCCATGGCTTAATCTTAGAATTATTTACCATTTAGGTGAGGAAATTTTTTTGGTCAACAATTTGTTTTTCTGAAAAGACAGTTTAATACTTTTGTTATGAGCCTATGGCAATTAAAGTGAAAAACAGGGTTCCTGGGGAGCTCAGTTGGTCAAACATCTGTCTGGGTTTTGGCTCAGGTCACGATCTCAGGGTCGTGAGATGGAGCCTCACAGGAGGCTTGCGCTCAGTGCAGAGTTTGCTTGTCCCTCTCCCTCTGTGTCTCTCCCCACTCACACACACCCTCTCTCTATCTCTTTCTCTAAAATAAATAAATAAAATCTTTAAAAAAAATAAAGTGAAAAACAGTCCCCAGAGAAAATGAACAAATCCTGAATAACATTGGACATTTAACCATTATATTTGTGGCAACTATAATTTATCATCAACTTGAATATTTATTACATTATTGTGATGACTGCCTTAGCATTAGCAAGCTACAGGTAATGAGGGCCAACAGGTTTTTGTTTGTTTGTTTTTTCAGTATACCCTTTTTGCCTTAGTGTAGGAGTTTTGGGGGATTTTCTTACTGGGGAAGGTAGGGTTTTGTGAATCTTGAAGTAGGTGGTATTAGGATACTTTATTCAGGACATGAGTTCTGGGTGTTGAAGGTATTCTACCACCAGATTTGCTTAAATTGATCTCAATTATGGCCTATGCAGCAAGAGCAATAATAGTAGCAACAACAACAACAACAAAGCTAACATTGAGAGCAGTTACTATGTGCCAAGACTGTTACAAGCTCTTGAACTATATGTTACAAGCTCTTCAACTATATGAGGAAGATACTATACTAATCTCTGCTGGAAGAAACTTTAGACACACAGAATTTAAATAAGGTGATAAGGCTAGTCAGAGTAGAACTAAACTTGAACCCAGGTAATCTGGCTTCAGAATCCACACTGTGCTCTAGCTAACCATTTAGCTAGTCCTGGCTTTCAAATATCCTCTTTATAAGTCTCATTTCCAGTCTGTGCTGTACGTTTGATTCAGTATCATCAGATATATCAGATATATCTAGGAGGACTTACATATCCTCCTAGAATATGATTTCTATCAACCTACATCCTTCCTGAAAAACTTTCAGTGACTCTCAGTATCAAGATAAAGCTCATGGCATATGTGACCCTCCCGCAGTTTTGCCAAAAAAATAACCTTTCCAGCCATACCTTTGATCCCTCCCCTATTGAAACATTTTGTTACAATTTATGTGCTCTACTACTCTGTTTCCCTCCACTAGATCTATGAGCCCCATTCAGTCTGGATCCATGTGGTCGTTTTTTAAATCCCCAGGATCTAGGTCAGTACTTGAGTAGATATGCTTCTAAACTCAGTGCCAGCATATGAAAACAGCAACCTTTAACAATGAATTTCCATGTCTTTTGTCCTTCTCTAGTCATCAGCAGCTTTAAAATTTTTTATTTATTTATTTATTTTTTTATTTGACAGAGAGAGATATCACAAGTAGGTGGAGAGGCAGGCAGAGAGAGAGAGGAGGAAGCAGGCTCCTCGCTGAGCAGAGAGCCTGATGTGGGGCTCAATCCCATGACCCTGAGATCATGACCTGAGCTGAAGGCAGAGGCTTTAACCCACTGAGCCACCCAGGCGCCCCCCCCCCCCTTTTTAAAATTTAGAAGTGACATTTGAAACATCAAATATTTATTACATGGCTTTGTGCACTTCAGCTAATAGTTAAATGCATTTTTACTTTTAATGCCAGTGTCACAGACTAGGCTGTGATGACTGAAATTGTCAAAAGAAGTACCTTGTTTTTGCTTGTTCTTTAATGCTCAAAGAAGTAGTAATGGTGCAAATAATTTTATATGTTAGTAATAATGGGAAAACACATCCTAGATGTTCAACTTCTTTAGATAGTTTGATATAATCACAGAAACTCCTTGAACTAATTTTGGGTACAGAAAAGAAAGAAGGATTATTTTTAACCATAAAAAAGAAAATGGAAGAGAAGACATAGTTGTCATCTGCTTTCATTTCTCTCAGAAACCACTTACCCTGAAACTAGTAGGTTATAGCTTCTTTTTTCAACTAAGATCTGTATCTATTTAAAGACCCCAAAATCCTAAAAGTAATCTGGAAGTAAAATAAAGAACCTGTACTGAAATATGGGATACACACATGAACATGTCTAAGATTTTAACT